CTTCTCATGGTAATCTCTCGCTTTTTTTTTTTTTTCCCTTTATTCTCATCGTTGTTTCTTTTTTTTTCTCATTTTTTTTCCTTTCTCATGGTAATCTCCTGCCGTTTATAAATACATCATTCTCCTCTTCTTTTTTTTCTCTTTTCTTCTCCTGGTCATTTTCCACGCTTTGCGAATTTCTAACTTCTCTTTTCTTTCTTTCTCTTTTCCTCTTCTTATGCTAATCTCTCGCTTCTTTTCTTCTCTTTTCTTCTGCTTATATTTCACTCTTTCCAAATCCGTTTCTTATCTTCTTTTTATCCTTCATCAGTTTTTCATCTTCCTAAATTTCCGAACCCTAGTTTCTACCACCTCTTCTTTCTTTTCTCTTCCTCTAGTTCATCTTCAATTGTTTCTAAATATGTTATACCTCTCAATCCCTCCTTCCTATTCTCCCTTCATTCCCGCACTCTATCCTTCTCCCTCCACCCTCTCTCTCTCTCTCTCTCTCTCTCTCTCTCTCTGTCTCTCTCTCTGATTCATTCTTTTTCTCTTCATTCTTTTTTCTTCATTTTATTTTTTTTATTTTTACGCCAATTCTTTTCCATTCATTTTAATTTGGGATTAAAATAATTGGACAATGTTTGACCCAAGATTATTTAGCGATAACACGGTAGACAAATTGAAAAAAAAACGACTTTTGATTTCCCTTGAGACAAATGCTGGATAACTGTATTTATTAAATGATGCATTTTGTATAACCTGAAATTTTACAAAAAAATCTAAGCCCCAAACTTACAGCAAAGAGATTATGTTCCAAATATATTAAAATAAGTATACTTTGTGTGAATGGCAGTCAATCGGCATTGGTTGGCGGACTAATAAGACGAGTTTCAGCCGAAACAACATCGGCTTCTGTCGTTGTGAATAGGTTTGAAGCACTATATAACACAAATGTAAATTGACTATAGCACTAACCGAAGCCTGAAGAACTGTTTCAAAAAATGATTATGTGCGTACAAAAGTTATCTTTTTTGAAAGCTTGAGATTGAATACACACTTGGAATTAGATTTCCCCTCAGAAAATTTTGAACACAGTTAATAATAATAATAATAATAATAATAATAATAACAATTTATACACTAATTTACATGGATGTACCAAATAAAAACATCTCTACGAAGGTTTTTAAAAAACTAAGCAAGTACAAAGATATTTTCTCTTTCTATTTCTGTTGTGGTTATAGCCCTGGGTCTGATATGGAAAGGAACTCAAGAAAAAAATCAACAAAATCCCTGGTGCACCATCTCTCCTGGAAATAAAAAAATAAGTTATAACAAACCATATCCTGCGAAAAGTTTTGTGTATTTAAGTTCTTTGGGGTTTTATTTTTTTTATTTTTTTTTTTTTTTTTTGTTTTGTTTTTGTTTTGTTTCTGTTTTTTGGGTAGGGGGTTGGGGGTGGTTGTCAATGGCTGTCTTTTGTTTGAGTGGAGACAAAAAAACTAAATAAAAAAAACATCTATACGTCATTGGTTATGACCCAGTTTTTAATTATAAAACAAATTCAAATCAAAAAGATATTTTTGAATAATAATAATAAACTGATTTTGGACGAAGTTTATTTCGTAGGTATTTATTAACCAAAATTACATCTCAACAGAAGTCGATCTCTGCTAACGGATTACCTCAGTGCATAATTGTCAGTAATTATATCCATGACAAATGAAACAGTCAATTATAGATGCAATGTGTGTAAACCGCACTGTTAATATGTACTTTGTCTCCACATCAGTAAGGTTTTAATATGCATGTCTACTAAGAAGTTCAGGTTTTATATTGAGATCTTCGTCTGTGAGCTGTGTCCTTTCAGGGCGTGAACAATCCTGAATCGCGTCCCTGGTATGACGATAAACTACGTCCGCGTCCTGGGTAGGACGATAAACTACGTCCAACATCAAGGCCTCTGATCGGGAGGTTTTGAGGAGCGTGGAATCACCTCTTAATTGCTGGTGTTCCCAGTTCCACCGTGAACCGGGGTGGTAGCACCTGTTAGGGTCCCAGCTATTGGCAAGTAGTTAACCCCCCGAACTGGGCTCAAAGCACTATGAAAGTGTAAAAATAGATTTTAATACAATCAATACATTTCTATAAATTATCTCCAGAAATACATTTTTGAAGAAAAAATTATTACCAGCAATACATTCTTGGAAAAAAATATTGCCAACAATATATTTTTGGAAAAAAAATATTACCAGCAATACATTTTTGGAAAAATATTACCAGCAATAGAAATATTGTCGGCATTAATTAAACCATTGAGGTTAATATGCCGTAAAACAAACCAAACCAAACTGATCATGACTCTCCACAACTTCTTATCTTTTGATGCTCAAAGTAACGTTTGTCTTTTTTACTATCCCTACCACTGACTCTTTCTACCATCTATTCACAAAAGCTCGTTAGGTAAATGGCTCGTTGCTTCACGCTGTTCCGTTTGCTTGTCGATAGGTTTCTTTCTGAATTTAGATTCAAGGGACCTTTTTTTCCATTGGACCTTTTGTTTTCCTTAAAAGTCATCGTTCATGGTATTCTCAGCATCTTCCTGAACCACATATATGTTGCCTCCAGTTTTCTCTTTGTCTGTGAAGAAATTGCACAACATTCAGTGCCATATAAGACGACTGATATTACATACCAGTTCAGCACACTTTTATGTGTATATTTTTTACCATTTCACCCCAAGCAAAGCAGTAATGTCACTAAGACACAAGTTTATACTGAATGTGAAAGTATATATGAAAAATAAAAACATTATTAAGGAGCGAAAAGAATAAAAGAAGAGGAATCAAGAAAACAGACGATGACGATTGACATTACATTTCAATTTTTAAAGATCAAAATTTGCGGGAAAGCAAGAAGCTGGAAGAGATTGCCACAAGCGATAAGTACGAGAAAAGAAACTGTTAGTATTGAATTTACTGTTATATCTAGTCATTTCGAATGTAAAATGATGAGACCTTGCTGCCAATCGAGTACTCGACTTAAATTCATAAAGTCTAGGCTTCATAGAGCAAATTGCATCATAACAATTACCATGAAAGTATTTACAGAAAAGACATAGAGAAGCTATATTGGTAGAAAGTAACTAAAGCCGAAATGCCAGCCCAGGGTCAATAACATTGCAGATTTGGGGGGGTATCAAAATTCTCTTTATATATATAGCAGGAACACCAGACCATGTATAGTATCAATATTAAAAATATGAACGAATGGTAGAGTTATAAATATGTAAGATAACCTCAGAAGAGAAAAATTTCTTAGCAGCAGACCTAGCAGTTTTGCAATATAATCTTTCTACTTGATGTCAGCAAAGGACGTTAGCCCAAGAAATCCCAATTAGTCACTCCCTTGTTGATTAGCATCAGCCATGATGATGGAAGGCAGAAAGGGGTTTCTCAAACGATTAATGGACAGTAATTTCGTTTTGGAGGCGTTAAAATTAACAAGCCATTCCTTGCTCCAGTTAACAGCAAATTGTAGGTCATTTTTGGGGACCAGCTTCTAACTTGACCTTAATGAACCAATCAGATTTACTAATAAGACAGGATTAAATAGTTTCATCGTCTGTATAGATACCGATTTGAGATTTGATGCCATCAGGAATGTCGTTGATGAAAATCAGAAAAAACTTTGGTCCAAGCATAGAATCCTGGGGAAAACCTGTATCAATGCAAAATGATCTAGCGGCCGTTCAGGACAATTTCATTTCACGATTTGATAAGAAAGATTGAATCAGTTCAAATATCCATCCAGAAATACCTTCATCTTGTGAAAACGACCAATATCCCAAACCATGTCAAATGCCTTCGAGATGTGTCCGAAGCAGTAACCCGACCTTCACCACTTTTAATCTTATATTTTACATATTTCTAACAAAAAGTCGTTAGAAACAAAAAATAGTGCCGGATTTTTATGTGATATCCATCTTCATATACGGCAGAATGAGGAGAGAAAAACTAGAAACAGCAAAAATGTGGTTCTACAGAAGGATACTGAGAATTACATAGACGGATCGAGTAAGCAAGAAGGAATTAAATAAACAGAAAGAAATTCTCAAAATCAGAAAAAGGTAATTGAAATTCCTTGAACATGTAATGAGGAAGGAGGGCTTGGAAAACTTAATCCTCACGGGACATACTGAGTGAAAGAATGATAGGGGAAAGTAGCAAGCCACTGACCTGACAAGCTTATGTGAATGAATGGTGGAAAGCGGAACGAGGACCATAGTAAAAGTAGAAAAACTGCTAAGAGTCACACAAAACAGGAAGTTGTGAAAAGCCATGATCGCCTTTGCCCGGCGGGTATGCTACACATAAAATATACATTTACGGATTTATTAGCTTTCAGTTTTAGAATTAAAGAAAATTATACATTTTCAATTATTTATATAAGACTTGATAATCTAACTCCTCTTCAACTTATTAAAATCACATTTTAGAAACAATCACCATCAACTTCGCTTTCAAAGACAAGTGTTTCAGTCAAGCATTTCGCGTGGTTAAAAATTCAGTTTGATTTTCTGCTGCAGAATCAGGTATCTTTAATCACATATTCCACTTCCATATTTTACAAGGTTAAATCGAGCACACCTATACTTATTGGTCGTAATGTTATTTAACTAAACTTACGCTGTACTTAGTTCATATAATACACACACACACACACACACACTATATATATATATATATATATATATATATATATATATATATATATATATATATATATATATATATATATATATATATATATAATAATAATAAATTCTCTTGAGAGGTATATCGGTTATAAAGTTTGCCTGTAGCTCTTATATTCATCATTTGAGTTTCGTGTTATGCCCAACTTTGCAGGTAATTATCGCCTTATGCTCTCCAGATAGACATTGTTAATGTTGCCTAGCCTCCACCCAAAATAGCAGTTTGTGTATTTGTGAAGATAATGGTGTATTCTTTACGTGGTTATGCATACAAATCCCTCTCACATAGATAGATAGATAGATAGATAGATAGATAGATAGATAGATAGATAGATAGATAGATAGATTTATTGAGAAAGAAACAAAGAAAGACTAATACAATGAAAAAAGAAAAAAAGAAATCTACCAAGAAAGAAAAAAGAAAGAAAATATACCTAGATTGATAAATATGAATCGAGTGAAACTGATAGATATATTAGCAAGAAAGAAAGAAAGAAAATATACTGAGATAGAGAGATATACTGAGAAAGAAAGAAACAAACAAACAAACAAAATATATCTAGATAGATATGAATCGAGTGAAAGTGATAGATATATTAGAAAGAAAGAAAGAAAGAAAGAAAGAAAGAAAGAAAGAAAGAAAGAAACAAACATAATTATACTGATAAAGAAAGTTTCGATAGATAGATAGATAGATAGATAGATAGATAGATAGATAGTGTTCCACTGAACACAGAGGAATGAAAGAGAGTTGTCTGAATATAAATTAACTCTTTGAAATTGTTGGTTTCCTTCCATCTTTTATGACTTTGGGCAAAAATAATGACCGTATCGCTTAGTCGACGCTGACGATACATTATCATAAATATGAAGGCCCAGTAATGACACCTCTATGGATATTCTGCGCTCCCTTTGCCAATACACGGCAGGCCCTAGTAATCATTGAACGAAAAGGGTATGATTTTAGCGTCAAATGTAGAGGAAAGTTACATATCAACATGCATATAAAGCTACTTATATATATACGCAGGGACATAAAATGTGTATGTGTCTAAGGATACAGAACTAAGTATATGTAAATGTCTAAACATATGTACCATTATCTATACAGATTTCAGTCAAAAGTATTTCAACTCTATATCATTTGAATGTTATAGGGTTGTATTGGCTATACAGTGGATGGGATATGCAATTCGTTTCCATCCGATCTATGATATTTGCCATTCTGTTATTTAAGTTCGTATATATAGCGAAAAGATGCCTTCCAAATTAAGTAGTAAAAGTTCGTTGTGCCTAGTATTGTCACTGCTCTAATAGAGTTAAGATTGTAGAGATTGAGAAAGCATCCCTACGGGAGTGTGTTGTTCTAGGAAGAAACTAATTGGAACTTCCTCACTACAAATGGAATATGAAAGAAAGGAGGATGACTCGACTATGTTTGCGTGGTATGGCGAGTCCTAGCTATGAAGTCTGATCTGGTGGAACTAAGGAATGTAGCTCTGGACTTTTGTCATGGAAATAGCGATTGATAGCGATAACAGCAAGGTTTCGTTTGTGAAAAAGGTGCTGTAAGGTGAAAAATAATTCATTATCCACAATGCAATGTATACGCTTTTGAACTATATCAAAGCTGAACATTGAGAACATGGCTGCAATACTTCATTTTTGTTCTGATCTGGATCTTGTCTAAAGAATGGTAGGAGGCGTCAAGTATTTTCTAGGACTGTTCAAGGAACTCGATCATTTTCTCAGCATCTTTAGCGATGCTACGAATATCCGAGTTCCACTTGAGGTATGGAATGAGCTTTAGTTCCAATAGACGTTCTGGGAAAGGAAAGCAAATCCATTTAAAATTCTTCCATTAATCAAGACTTGAGTAACTTTATGGTCTGCTCTTTGGTGATGAAACGTTACTAGATTTGTTATGGAGTTTCTTAAAAGATAAAAACCAATATTTCCCCTATTGAACTGTGAGAACTCGACCAAAGGAGAGATCAGCTGCCAAGCTCTGGTCATCAAGACCGAAATACGTCTGTGAGCGTTTACTAAAACAAGGGACAAAGAAATTAAAAATAACAAGAAATCAATGTGTCCGAAATTTTTTCCCGCTGTTATATGAATTTGTGTGCAGCGGTCAACAACTCGGTGTTATTAACGGAACATGACCATATTCCAGTCGCGACCGTGCATACACTTTCGAACAAATACTCTCGTCATCATCATCCTTCGACTTCAATATGGTTGGCCGGAACTCCATCGACAATCCCTAGACTCTAGATTTTTCTAAGTAGATTATTCACATGTCCCATCCAGTCGTCTTTCAAGACGAACAGATAATGTCACAGTTTCTGATCCATGCAGTAGGACTCGTTCAAACAATGTTCGAAAGGTTTGTACTTTTAAGGTGGATGGAAGGTTCAAGCACCAAATCTTGTGAAGTTTGTTACACGCATTCTATGCAAGAGCTTTGCGGATGTTGAAGTCTTTTGGGGAATCTATTATGTGCTATCCAAGAGATTTGAAGCCCTCAACTATTTTGATGGATGTATTATTGAATGGTTCAGGGGAATGTTGTGATATATTCTGTCGTAAAAAATTTGCAATAGAGACCTACATGGTTCGCTGCTTGCTCGATTGAGCGCGGCACAGATTCTGCATACTTGATACACTGAGAAACTACTGCAAGATCAACAGCAAAGCCAAGGTCAGCCAGGTATCGTGGAGGGTATTGCCTAGATAAATATTAGTTAAAAACCCTCACTAGACCTTTTCAGATATGGGTTAAATAGTATGACAAGCAGAGCATTCTAAATGGGCTAAAAATTAGTCTAGTGGAATAAAAAATTAATTCAAAGCCGGTTAACTATGGAGTTAGCATCTCCGCCACGTAAAAAGCTACTGGCTACGGGAACCACAGCAGCTTGCATTGTCAGGTTGTACTAACCTTTCGAACACTGATTGAACGAGTCCTATTGCATTGTCAGGCTGCGCTTAAAAGTACTAACCTTTCGAGCATTCATTGACGTGTCCTTTTGCATTTACAGACAGTGCTTAAAAGTGCTAACCTTTCGAACATTCATTGAACGAGACCTATTGCATTGTCAGGCTGTGCTTAAAAGTACTAACCTTTCGGACATTGATCGAATGAGTCCAATTGCATTGTCAGGCTGTGTTCAAAAGTACTAACCTTTCGATCATTGATTGAACTAGACTTATTGCATTGTCAGGCTGTGCTTAAAAGTACTAACCTTTTGAACATTAATTGAACGAGTCTTATTGCATTGTCAGTCTGTGCTTAAAAGTGCTAACCTTTCGAACATTGATTGGAAGAGTCCTATTGCATTTTCAGGCTGTGCTTAAAAATACTAACCTTTCGACCATTGATTGAACGAGTCCTATTGCACTGTCAGGCTGTGCTTAAAAGTGCTAACCTTTCGAACATTGATTGAACGAGTCCTATTCCATTATCAGACTGTGCTTTAAAGTAATAACCTTTCGAACATTGATTGAAGGAGTCCTGTTGCATTGTCAGTCTGTGCTTCAATGTACTAACCTTTTGAACATTGATTGAACGAGTCCTATTGCATTGTTAGGCTGTGCTTAAAAGTGCTAACCTTTCGAACATTCATTGAACGAGTTCTATTGCACTGTCAAGCTGTGCTTAACAGTATTAACCTTTCGAACATTCATTGAACCAATCCTATTGCATGGATCAGAAACTTCGACATTATCTGTCTATAAAAATGTATACATTAGAATTAACTGACTTTTTTCTGTATTTTATGTTGGAAAATATTTTTTTTTCTCCTTAATTGTTATTCTTACATCAAAATATACCCCCCCTGCTTAAAATGTAAGTAAACGTAATATCAGAACTAAACAGAAGAAATATTTTGCTATTGCTTACATCCATCTTTTCTGAACTGAATCCTCAGAGAGAACATTTTTACCCCTCCCCTCACCATCAATTTTGAAAATGACGTTCTCTTCAACATATAATTACAGAATAATTAAATAATAAAATTAATTTATTTTATTGATAACATTTACCATAATATAAAATTCACTACATGAAATGGGCATTTCGACTATTTCGTTATTCAACACTCACAGAGCCCACCTGTGGTTTATACAGCAACTATGCTGAGCAGACCTTAGTTACAGTTTCTGGGTGAGAGCGTGTTATCTAGCCTGATAAACAATTTGAACAAAGCCAGCACGCCTAAGCCTCAGTGACTTGTGACTTCGTACTAGCACGGCTATCGACGGTACCTAAGGATTTCGTCTACCCAATTTCCCTCACAACGCTTGGCTCAACCCGTGGTATGGTTTTCAGACACTTTCCAAAGGTGCCGTACGCTGACAAATTGACCATGGATAGATTTGAATCACTCGGTCACGAAATAAATATATATATATATATATATATATATATATATATAGTTCTGGTGTTAAAAAATAGTGCTCGATGTAATATAATAAATATACATATTATCCCTCTCCAATAACCCGTCGTAATCTTCCGGTGCTGCATATGAACTGACAGTTACATTATTTTGAACTATAATATATCTCGTTATGACAACGTTGGAGTAGTCGAAAGTCGAGCACACAATAGGATTTATGTACAAAATGGAAGAACACAATTCCTTACACTTTCTAAATATCAAGCTACTCCGCGTTAATAACAGTTTAAAAACTTGTTGTCCACTTTAAATTAACCAACAAAAATGATCTAGTAAATTTCTATTCTCATCATAACAACAAAATGAAATCCGGCATAATCATCGGATTCTACCTAAGAGCACTAAGAATATGCAGCCCGGATTATTTACACGAAAAGGAGAAATACGTTGAAAACACTTTCAAACTTCTTCAGTACACTAATTATTTTATATCAATGCGAAACAAAACGCCCAAATATATTTCAAAACAAAAATAAAGTCCCCTCCTGAGAAACCCAACGAATCAAAAAATATGTTATCCTACCTACTAACTCTATCACATCCACAAACGAAAAGAATCTACCTAAACTCAACATAAAATGTGTTACCACTACATCCAAAACAATAAAAGTCTTAATCAGTACTAAACAAATCGATAAGCTAATGAAGAAGGAGTTCACTCTATCGCCTGTAATAGTTGTCACAAAAAATACATCGGAGAAACATCAAGGAACCTAAAGAGTGTATGAACACAAACAGCACATTTTACAAATCAATGCGCCAAATGCATTTGTTGCCCACTATAACGATACTGGCCGCAATTCTGACACATAAATTCTACTCTGATCAAAGGAGAATTCATGTCTCTAAATGTCTAGGTAGCGCCTTAATCATATACAGTAAATTTGCGCCCTGACTCTTACATTTCACCATTCTTGGCTGACCATCTGATATCACAGTGTGGAATACCTACTTACGAAAGTGATGGAAAGAAAAAAAAACAATAAATAAATTTGGCTTGAGAAGAAAATATCTAAAATTCCCATAACCGCTCTGTTGTGCGAATATCTAGTCATACCAACATAACAAAGTTAGTCTGATAAAGTCACAAGTAAACTTTTTCCACTTTGTCATACAATTTCCCCATCTATATCTGTGTACATATACAGGTTGCGATGAATAAATTGTCGTCTAAATTACGCAAAAATGAAAATAATACTGACATCCCACTTAATATATCACACAATATATTTACCAACAGGTCATATAAATATCTTGAAATACAAAAGAGTAAATTTATTTAACAAAATCGCCATTGGCTTCAACCACGGCCACCAGACGACTTTGGAATGTCCAGCATCTCTTCTGGACGGTGTCCTTGTTTAAGTTGATAAATGCAGCCATAATGCTTGCCTTCAGTCCATCTTTGGTATTACAGGGATTTTTGGTGATCTCTTGTTCAACAGTATCGCACACATAATAAACGGGGCTGCAATCTGGGGAGTTAGATGTAAGGGGTGATGTGGTCCTTGTGTGTCATGGTTCAGAATCTGTTGCCAGAAATAGAGTCTTCTAGCAGCCACACTCTTAACCCAGGGTACCACTACTTCCTCAATGCACTTAATGTAGACCTCCGTGTCAATCTGAGGCCCTCACCAACAAATTCCGGAGTTCTTTTCTTGTCAGAACTATTAGAGTGAGTTTTCCTAGCTGCAGTACCTTCGTAATCACCATTAGACTCATCCAACTCTTTCCGCATCCCCTGCACTCTACTCACATTGACACCCAAAAACTCTGAAATGTTCGTATTGGAGCTTCCGGTGCAAATTCCAAGCACTACAGTATGCCGTTTCCAAATTTCTAGCGGCGTTATTTGTGCCATGGTGGTTTTTATTCACGGGCAGTGCCCAACTGACCCTACAATACTGTACAGTCGACAAAATAAAAAAAAACGCGACAATTTACCCATCGCACCTTGTTCTCTTGCAATCGCATATATATGTGTGTGTGTATGCGCGCGCGTGCGTGTGTATGTCTGTATGTGTGTGTGAACAATATTTTTGTTTTGTTTATCTATTTACAATACTGTTTCCCACTTAGTGATTTTAAAAATGGATAACTGATTTAACGGAGTTTCTGAGATTTAATGTTCTTTTCACATTTTTTTAAAAGAATGCTTTTAGTGGGTTGCAATTTCGATATAATTTCTTCTCTTTATTTCTCAAATTATTCACGTTTGCAATACATTAATACGTGTGGTCCAGCAGTATATCAAACGGCAAAATTCAGTTTCCATTTCATTGTCTTTTCCATGTAGATAGATAGATAGATAGATAGATAGATAGATAGATAGATAGATAGATAGATAGATAGATGTGTATATTCCAGTTGAATCCATTACATTCGCTTACGTGCTAATACCCTTGGGAAAGGTATGATTCTTCTTCTCTCTTCAGCTATGGGTAAATAGCAGGGCAGACTGGGTTCTATAGCCTTGAATGGCAACTGGTCTAGGAGAAGGACAACTCTGAAAAAAATAACCTGCAGAGGGTCGTTTGGAGACCTTGTGTCACGTAGTGCAATCAGGTCTCTGTATTCGGCCGTTCAAAAAGTGTGGTTGGTCCTACACAAAAGCCTTCACCGCTATAATCAAACCATATGTGCTCGTGTCTGGCTGTCGGTTCCTAGGAACTAATCTGCTTGACCCTCATATGTCGAATAGGACGGAGAGTTCCCCATATATATATATATATATATATATATATTAGGCGACTGACCAGTTCCAAAATATTGTAGAGAATATTTTTTCTTTCTCATGTATAATCACGCTAATATTATTCAGTAATAAATGTATTTTGTGTGTTCCTCGACGACTTTACACCATATTCCGGTTAGATTGTTTATTCTATCAAGAACAAAGGATTCCACCTATGGTTTGCGGCATCTTTCTGTCTCCAGTTTATTGGAATTACTGACCCGACAGGGAATGCTATATAGAGCCTAAGAAAGGATCGTCTGAATGTGACATGTCTGGAGAATATTCTATATGTAAATTAATTAATCATCACAACTCTGTGGTTGTTTGCTACGACCTGCGATTGCAATAGAACATGCATTGTCCTGTATTAAAATAAACAGTAAACTTCATTGTCCAGAAATAATCTTTTTTTCTTCCAGCGTGTCATTCAAACGAGTCAATTGCTCAGTGTAGTTTTTTCTAGTTATAATTTCTCCAAACTGCAGCATTTCGCAGTAATTTTTTAATCCGTTCAAACATTAAGATAAGTTCCGTTTAGTTTTGAGATGATGAATACTGTACTGAATCTACCTACAATTTTCTTTAATTTGATTTCTCGAGAAAACATTATCAGATAACAAGAAAAAAACTACTTATTCGTCTTCCGGGCAAGGAACAGAAGACAAACGTTTAAACTTTGACCTCTGTTTCTGTTTTGTACGTTCAGGTGAAACCTGTTTTCGTAGCTTCTGATTTTTTTTCACAAGTCTTATAAATAACCTGATAAAGTTGTCTGACTGCACAAGTAATAAAGAGTTCAGTAAACATGAAGAATTATTTAAACCATTTCAAAATATATAGCGCTATCTTAATATACTTTAAGTGGCATGAAACAGTATTTGTACCTCTAAAAAAACAATTTCTTTACTTTCGTCAGGCCTCCTGGATATGGCGATAAACTACATTCGGAAGCAAGGCCGCTGATCGGAGATTTTGAGGAGCGTGTAACCACTTCTAAATTGCTTTTGTTCCCAAAATCCCCCCCTGACCGCCGTGGTAGTACATTTTAGGGTCTCAACCATAGCAACAGCTTTCTCAGGGGAGGAAATGCCTACAACGGTCGAAATGTTGTGAATATGGCAATAAAGATGAGGATAACAGTCTAAAAGATGAAAATAATGTAAATAGTGACAATACCTCATCTCAGAAATATAGACAGATGAAGAAACAATTATTAATATTTTAAAATATTGCATTCAAAAATAGAAGTTTTCATGTCTTACTTCTGTACAAAGAGGTAATATGATAATGTTTTCAAAGCACTTTCATTATCACTTTTGTTGATTATGTTATTATCAATATTATCACCATCATTCCACCATTATCACCTATAAAACCATATTACTATCAATTCAGACAACTTTTTTATCCCTAATAGCAATAATGATCATCACTCTCATGATAAAAAAAATCTTTTTTATCTTACTAATTATTCAGTCTTAAGTTATCACCTCTGTAATAATCATATTTATTATTGTCATAAAGCAATTTCTCATTTAATCCTCAGGATAGTTTTTCCTCTTGTCTTTTTATTCATTTTCTTCCTTTCCAGATACATATTATCTGAAAATAATTACATATTTATCTATGTATGCACTTACTGACCTAGTTTAACTGGTAATATAGGAAGTGGGGCGCAGTGTGCATCGTTTCCGATTGATTATCATCTTCTTTTCAAGGTCCAAAATGTTATTTTTTGATCAAGTAACATAGTAACCGGACATTATTGCTTCGCATTCATATTCTAGACAATAAATGTATATAAAGAAGAATTGCATCAGATATTTCAAAAGCCTTTGATAAAGTGTGATATTGAATGTTGCTCTAGAATCACTGGAAGAGTCTTCTAAATTATTAAGTCCTTTCTCACTGGTATGTCCCTGTAGGTAGTTGTTAACGACCAGTCCCTCGAAGTGATCAACGCAGTCATCCCCCAAGGCTCGCTTTTCTGTCCAGCCTTCTTTCTACTTTACATAAATGATCTACCTCCGGCCTTTTGTCAATATCTATGTTGATGATACAACGGTATGATTGCATCTCCATAATTCTAGATGACTAGCGATTAGCAGCTGATCTCTCCTCTGACCAAGTTTTATGGGGGAAAATTGGCTGGTCAATGCCTTGAAAACCTCGCCGATCTTATCCAGAACTTGCACCAAATGCAATGAACAAATGTTCCCTCAGGGAGCCGCCGTAATTTAAGCGCCTATTGGAACTTAAACAGAATCCAGACCTCAAGTGGAACATACGATCCATCGCTGAAGATGCTGGGAAAATGGCCGATTTCATGTAGAGCTCAAGTAAGTAACTGATTCTTCGCGCGATTATCTACCTTTACAACAATCAGATTACTGTACGTTCTCTCTAGCTATGGAATCTCAATTATAAAGTCCTTCATAACGGATAGGTCCCTGGTGGCAATTCTTATCGGTCAATCGTTCGTGGCCTTAGCCAACAACGCTTCTCGCTCGAAACCGTATTCTGCTTTGCATAAATGTTCCCTCATGGAGCCTAAGAGTATACTCCGGTGTTTTGTCAATATCTATGCTGATGATACAAAGGTACATTGGTTCACCTCCCACAATCTAGATGACGGGAGATTAACAGCTGATCTCTCATCTGACCTCACTCATTGGGTGAAATATTGACTGGTCCACATTCAGTGCTTCGAAAAGCAAATTAGTGACGTTCCACCATCAGCGAGAGAACCATGATTTTTCACCTATCGTAATGTATAGGTTTTCTCTCAGTGAGTTTCTGTATCTTAAGCACCTATTCGGAATTAAGCTCTCCTAAAATATCAAGTGGAACTCATATATATAATCCATCGCTAAAGATGCTTGGAAGATGGTCGGTTAGCTGTACCTCTCTAGTAAGTACCTGACCACTTCTGTTATCCTCTACCTTTACAAACACCAAATTAGGACAAAAATTAAATATTGTTGACAATAATGTACACGAATTGTCAGGTCTTTATTTTCCAGTCTCGATAGAGTCCAAAAGCTTCTCCTTTGTCCTCTGCTTTGCGTAGAGCCAGATCAGAACAAAAATTAAATATTGCTTCCATATATGTGCAGGAGTTGCCATATCTTCATTTTCCTGTCTCAACAGAGTCCAAAAGCAAATACACCTCTTTGTAAGAGATTAATTATTCAGACTAACTACATTATTTAGTTCTGCCAGTTCTTGTCTTCATTGCTAATACCCATCATGCCAAGTCCATTGTAGCAAACCACTCTCATTCCCTTCGTAATTCACTTGTGAGATGTAAATTCCCCTCGAACAGCTTCTTCCCACGAACTGCTGCATTGTGGAATCGACTCTCAAATGGATCTTTCCTCGATCACTATAGTCTTAGCCTGTTCAGTTCTAGCATAACCTTTTAAACTATGCCTCTTACATCCTACTCTCTAATCCCCTACATTGAGTGGCTCTTCAGCCTTGTACAGGGTAAAAATTATTGTAAAATTATGAACATTATTCTTTTTAAATCCATTTAACGGACTATTTATCTTATGAATGATTCTCGCTTTGTTCGCCTAGCCTCATCATTTTCTCCATCCTTCTCTCTATCCAGTTCTCGCTTTCTTTCTCTCTGCCACCCTTTCTCCCTCCTACATTCTCTCTTGCACCTCTCTCTTTTTTCTGCTATCTCTTTCTTTCTGTCTCATCTTTCTTTCTCAATATATATTGTTTGCCTTTCTCTCTCTCTCTCTCTCTCTCTCTCTCTCTCTCTCTCTCTCTCTCTCTCTCCTCAATCGTCCTCTCTATTTTTTCTATCGCTACCTTCTCTCTTTTATTCTCCCTTTCTGTTTTTATGTCTTTTTTTCTCTGTCTCTCGCTTTCTCTTTTTCCCCCTCTCCTCTTCTTTCTCTCTCCTCCTCTTTTTTTTATTGCTTTCTCTCCCTGTCATTCGTCTTCTTTTATGCCTCTTACATAGATCACCTCTTCCTTAATTGGTTCTTTTTATTATTCTATTTAATAACTTGTCACTATCTTTCTCTCTACCTGTTTTTTTTTTATCTCTCTTCTCCTCTCATTTACTGTCTGTTTTTATCTCTGTGTCGCATATCTTTCTCGTTTTTCACCTATCATTATCTCATTGTCCCTTTGTGTTTCTCCTTCACTTTACGTCTGCCACTCGCTTCTAATATAGCCTAAGTGTCGCCATAATTTGGAAAAACTACGGTAAGCAAGAAAAAATATTCTGCCGTCGGCTGGTTTTCATTATGGGAGAAAAATTATTTACTTTGGCTTCGGGCTGTCACAAAACATGAAAGTAAAAAACCCTGCTTTCATCTCAAAAAAATATATACATCCTGAGTACTTTTCTTTTTCAGTTTTTCTCTGTTTCTATTTTTTTTTCTTTTTTTTTTTTTTGGTTTCTTTTGTTTTGTTTTGTTTTAATATTACTAGCTCTGAGGAACTTTCTCTAAATCTAATGGATTTTGATTGTAATAAATGCACCATTAATGCAAAACGCACGCACACTTCCATTTTCCTATCGACTTGTTACCGCCATCTTTCTTTTCTGCTATCCTTTTTAAAATAACATTCGTTTTTGTTTCATTGTTGTTAATTAAGTTTATCTGTTTTCAAGT